GAAGAAGAAGAAGAAGAAGAAGAAGAAGAAGAAGAAGAAGGAAAAGAAAGAAAGAAAGAAAGAAAGAAAGAAAGAAAGAAAGAAAGAAAGAAAGAAAAGAACAAGAAAACAAAACAGGGCTGGGGAGATAGCTCAACAGAGTAAGCGCCTGCCTTGCAAGAACAGGGTCCTGAGTTCAATCCCTGGTACTGCAGACAAACAAAAACAAACAAACAAATAACAAAACAAAGCTTGCTTGAATCATATAGAGACCCTGTCTCCAAAACAAAACAACAAAATTCTAAATAAACCATACCAGTCAATGAAATTGAAGATGGAATTAAAAACCTACCAACATTTGAGGCCAGCCTGAACTTCAGAGTAAAACTCTATCTCAAAAAGACTGGGGGCCTGCCCATTAGCTCAGTTGTTTAAATGCTTGCTTAAGCAAAGCCATGAGGCTCAGAATTCTGTGGTTCAATCCCCAGATCCTCATGCCTTACCAGACCTGCCCTTAAGGCATCCTGAGCAGGCCAAAAAAACCAAAAAACCAAACAACAACAAAAAAATCTTTATGAACTTTCAGCCAAAGATAAATAAATAAACAAATAAATAAATAAAATCCTTCTGAACTTTTAAGGCTCAGGATGCTGTGGTTCGATCCCCAGATCCACAGACCTGTCTTTAAGGCATCCTGAACCAGCCAAAAAATAAATAAAATCCTATCTCAAAAAGACCAAAACCAAACCAACAAGATCTACCAACAAAGGGAAGCCAAGGCCTTGGCAGATCCACTGCTAAATTCTACAATAAATTTATTTATTTATTTATTTATTTATTTAGGTACTGCAAATTAAACTCAGGACCTAAGCTTGCCAGGCAGACACTTATTGTACTGAGCTATCTGACTGGCCCTACAAGAAATTTAGATTTAAAAAAGAAAGAAATTTAGATTAAGACCTAATGCTAGTATTTCCCAAACTCTTTAATGAAATTAAAAGGGAAGTAATATTGCCAAACTCCTTCAAGGATCTGAACAAAAAAGAGAATTAAGCTAATCTCCCTCATGAACATAGATACAAAAATCCTCTTAAGATACCTGAAAACAGAATGCAGCAAATTTTCAAGAAGATCATAAACCATGACCAAGTGGGATTCATCCCAGAGATGCGGAGACGGTTCAACATATGCATCTTTCTTTCCTTTCATTTGCTCCAGGGCCTCCCTCCACAGTTCCGACTCAGCCTCGTGGTGAGCCTTCTGTTCTCAGCCTCCCCAGCGCTGCGATCACAGGTGTGTGCCACCACGCTGGGCCCAGCACAACCCCCGGGGCGGGCCAGTGTGGCAACATATGCAAATTAGTAAGTGTAATAAATCATATTAACAGAGCCAGGGACAAAAACAATATCATCTCAACAGATGCAAAAAAAAAAAAAAAATGTTTGACCAAGTGCAACATCCACCCATGATAAAAATCCTACAGAAAATTGGAATACATGGTCTTTTTTTGTATATGTGTGGTACCAGGGATCAAACTAGTGACCTTGCGATTGGCAGGCAGGCATTTATGCCACTGAGCTATCTCTCTGGCCCCTCAAGGTCTTTATCTTAACCTGAAAAAAACCCAAAACCACCTATGACACACCATCAGCCAACATCATACTAAATGAACAAAAAAATGAAAGGTTTCACTATAAAATCTGGAACATGACAACGATGTCCACTATTACCGCTCTTAAGATAGTTCTGGAGACATCAGTCAGAGCAATTTGACAAGACAAAGAAATAAAAGTAACGAGAATAGAAATGAAGAAGTTTAAATTATTATTATTTGGGGGGACCGGGGAGATGGTCAGTAGAATAAGCACTTCCTTGGCAAGCGCAAGGGCCTCAATTCAATTCCTGGTTCTGCCAAAAAAAAAAAAAAAAAAAAAAAGATAAATTATTATTTATAGATTACATGATAATCTACATAGAAGAGCCAGCAAACTTCACCAAGGCTTCTAGATTTATTAACCAAATTCAGTACTGTAGCTGGATACGAAGCACTCAAAATTTAATAGTGTTGCTGCACACAAATAACAAACTCGCGGGGTGGGGGGCAGGGAGATGGCTCAGTGGAATAAGCACTTCCCTGGCAAGTGCAAGGGCCTGAGTTCAATCCCCAGTTCTGAAGGAAAAAAAAAAGAGAGAGAGAGAGAGAGAAAAACAAACAAACTCGCCAGCTCAGTGGCATAAGTGCCAGCCTGGAAGTGCAAGGGCCTGAGTTTGATCCCTGGTACTGGGAAAAGAAAAAAACACTGAGAAAGAAATTAGGGAAACAACGCCATTCACAATAGCATCCTGAAAAATGAAATACCAAGTATTCAATCTAACAAAGGGAGTAAAACACCTTTACATTAAAAACTACAGTCCTCTGAAAAAGATTGAGTTAGAAGTTAGAAAATGGAAAGATAATCCTGTCTCTTGGGTAGGAAAAAAAAGAAAAGAACAAGAAAAGAAAACAGGGCCAGGAGATAGCTCAGTAGAATAAGCTCAGTAGGATATACGCACAGAGGTTACACTTCCAAAACTGTTATACAGGTTTAATGCAATCCTCACTAAAATAACAATAGCATGTCTCACAGAATTAAGGAAAACTAACCCTAAAATTCATTTGGAACGGAAAAAGACTGAGAATAGCAAAAGCAATTCCGGGCAACAAAGGCAAGGCAGGGGGCACCACAATCCCTGAGTTAAAATTATACTATAAAGCTACAGTCATAAAACCAGCATGGTATTGGGGGGGGAGGTCCGAGGATAAATGGAACAGGTTAAAAGATGCAGAAATACCTCCAAACGTACTCAGCCACCTTATCTTTTTTGTCTGTTTTTGGTTTTGATTTTTTTTTTTCAGAACCAGGGATTGGACTCAGGCCCTAGCGCTTGCCAGGGAAGCGCTTATTCCACTGAGCCATCTCCCCCGGTCCTTGGGATCTCATCTTATTAAAAAGCTTTTGCACAGTAAGAGAAACCACCAAGAGTGAGGAGACAACCCAGAGTGGTGGGGGGGACTCTTTGCCAGCCGTTCTTCAGATAAAGGGCTATTATCTAGAATAAAAAATTCAAGAGTACAGACTCTCCTAAACTTAAAGACTCAATTCAAAAATGGGCATCTGAGATGAATACACACTTCACAGATGAAGTGGAAGCATCAGTTAAATATTGGCAAAATGCTTAATACCATTGGCAATGAAGAGGTGCAAAATAAAACGATACCGAGCTTCCATCTCACTCCAGAAAGAACGGCCATTCTCAAGAAATGACAGGACTCAGCACTCAGGAGGCCGACGCAGGAGGATCACCATGAGGCCAGCCAGGGCTACGGAGTGAGTCCAAGGCCTGACTGCCTCAATAAAACAGTTGCGGGGCCGCGGAGATGGCTCATGGAATAAGTGCTTCCCTGGCAAGCACAAGGGCTTGAGTTCAATCCCCAGTTCTGCAAAAAAAAAAAAAAAAAGTTGAAAACAATAAAAGTAAAAATCTTTTCATACATGGGGTAGGGCTAATCAGGGCAAGGCCCCAGGTAGAGGAGCCCTACAGTTAGCTACCCTAGTGCTGCGGGAGCTGGTTCCACAACTCATATACTTCAGGTCCTGGCATTTTTCTTTTCTTGAGACAGGCTCTGACTATGTAGCTGGGGTTGGCCTGGAACTCGCAGATATACTAAATCCAAGTTCATTTCACTACCAGGCACCTTGCCTGCAGGGGACTGTCCTGGTGGTCTGCAGGTCGCCGCCCCACGCCTGCTCCCGCTCCTGCAGGGGACTGTCCTGGTGTCTGCAGGTCGCCGCCCCACGCCCGCTCCCGCTCCTGCAGGGGACTGTCCTGGTGTCTGCAGGTCGCCGCCCCACGCCCGCTCCCGCTCCCGGCGCTCCTCCGGGGGCTGGGCCCACGACGGGAAGGCAAAGCAGGGCCCAGGACTGCTGGGTCGCAGGCTCCCTTGGGTCGCATCATGTTTTCTGGAAATCCTTTCTTGAAGTTGCAGGAGAGCAGTGGTAGGGGATGTGCCAAGCGACCCCAGGGCAGGGGAAAGCGGTTTTAGAGGAGCAGTTGGACCCCTCAGGGGCGGACAGAGCCCCAAGCTCCGGAGCGGCGGGGTTTGGGCTCCGCGGGAGGGCTCGGGACTGGGGCGGGCGCTCCTCAGGCCCCGCCCCCAGGATCAGGCCCCGCCCAGGATCAGGCCCCGCCCCACGAGCAGGCCCCGCCCCGCCCCGCCCCGCCCCCTCCCGCCGGTGCAGCTGCTTCCGGGCTCCGCGGCTCCCGGCGGCGCGGAGAGGCCCGGCGGCGGTGGCGCTGGTCCCGGGGCGGCCGAACAGGGCAGCAGAGCGTTGGGACGCCTCGAAAGGCGCTGCGTCTGGAGACGGGCTCTCCAAGGACGTCTCCGTCCTGACCTTGCGGACGCTGCTTCTCGCTGGCGCCGTCTCGGCCGGGGGGCCACTTTGTAGGAATCGTCGCCCCTAAATCAAGGGACTGACGCGACAGGCTGGAGAGTGCCGGAGACCTTCCTCCGTCTCCTCAGAGACCTGCTGTTCGCCGAGCTGCTTTAAGACTGCTCGATCCAGGAGGACCGGAGGGCCCGGCCACCTTCCGACCTCTCTGATGGAGCACCTTCTCCCCAGTTTCTGGGGCACCTTGGGGCGTGGCCTTGGTGAGTGAAACTTGGGGTGCTGCCCGCTGGGAAGGAAACCCGAAGCACCGAGGATACTGTGGGGTGACCCAGGCCTGGTGAGGCCCGCAGACTCTTGGAGGCTGTGGGTGGTGCCGAATAAATTTGGGTTCACCTCCCTTTACCCCGAACTGAAAAGGAGCCAAGCCGCGCTGGACGCTGCCTGACCATTCCGGAAGCGGGGAGCCCTTCTGAGTTCCGAGCGGGAGGGATCGCCGCCAGACACACCTGTTCTGACCTGGGCAGCTTCTGCCTTCCGAAGCGGCCCGGGACCGGGGGCGCTCGCCGCACAGCCCAGCCATGTTCCTGCGCCGGCTCGGAGGCTGGCTCCCTCGCCCGTGGGGCCGCCGGAAAGCGGCGCAGCCTGCCCCTCCTGCCCCAGAGCCCAGATGGGCGGATAGCTCCCCTGAGAATTCGGGGAGTGACTGGGACAGTGCCCCAGAAACCGTGGGAGACATGGGAACCCCCCAGACCAGAGACTTGGGGACACTGAGGAGCTCCAGGGCTGCCCCAGAAGCAGGCAGGGAGCCCCAAGCTGAGCAGTCGGGGAGCAGAAGAATGGATTCCCTCAGGTGGAACCAGGCTGCAGACGGCACTCAGGAGTCATGGAGACTAGAAGCCGGAGGAGCCATTCCAGCGCTGCGGCGGGACCCTGTGGACCCAGATGGTACCGGGAGACCCAGGGCACCCCCTGAGGGGGGACCCGGTGCCCCTGGGCCTGAGGCCTCGGTGGAGAAACCTGGCCAACGCCGGAAACTGCTACGCTGGCTGCGAGGGGAGCCGGGGGCTCCTCCAGGGGACCCCGAGGAGTGCCTGCAGATCTCCACCAACCTGACCCTGCATCTGCTGGAGCTGCTGGCCTCAGCCCTGCTGGCCGTTTGCTCCCGGCCGCTGCGCGCAGCCTTGGACGCGCTAGGGCTCCGGGGGCCTCTGGGGCTCTGGCTGCACGGGCTGCTGTCCTTCCTGGCTGCTCTGCATGGGCTCCACGCCGTGCTGAGCCTGCTGACCGCCCACCCCCTGCACTTCGCCTGCCTCTTTGGCCTCCTTCAGGCCCTGGTTCTGGCCGTCAGCCTCCGGGAGCCCAGCGCGGATGAGGCGGCCACTGGCTGGGAAGACGAGGGGCTGGGCCGGGAGGAAGAGGCGCAGAGGGGAGGCCCAGGGAAGGGGCTGGGGCTGGAGAGCGGGTAGCGCAGAGGGGAGCTGGTGCGGCCTTCAGGAGAAGACAGCCACAAGCACAGGGACCTCAGGGATAGGAAGAAGCCCCCAGCGGGAGCCCACGAGCCTCCTCGCCAGGAAGACCAGAGCTGTGGGCGCCTGGGTCTGTGCGAGGTGGGTGTTGCCCTGGGCTCACCAGCTGTTATCTTCGCTTTTGTATTTCTTCCACCTCTAGTTCTTTCCCTCACCTCCTTTTAAGAAGGAAAAAGAGTGATAGTAGGGACTAGAGGCCACAGGGGCCTTCTTCCCTCCAAACTCTCTAGGCGTAAAGTGGGGCCAGAGAGGCCGCACAGAGAGCTCTGCCGGGATCCTGGGGTGTCCCTGGGGATCCGGAACCCCAGGAGCTTAGAGGGCCTGCACTTGGGCCGCGGGGAGCAGGATAGCTCAGGCAGCGTTGCCGAGGGCCAGCCCTGACGTGCTGCAGTCCAGACCAGCAGAAGGGTGCAGAGCCCACAGTCTCCACTGGACGCCAGGGGGCTGCTCACTCAGCAATAAACACCTGTGTCACACTAAGCCCTAAATATACCACTACATGTGAGCAGTGTGCTGCCGTGTCCTTCTGACGTCATCCATCAGGGCTCGGCGGTGCGGGGGCCAGGAAGTGTCGAAATGGTCGCTCAGTAGAGTAAGTGCTTGCCTGGCAAGCACAAGGGCCTGAGTTCAATCCCCAGTTCTGCTAAAAAATAATAATAATGAAGAAACCGGGGCAGTGGGGCCAGGGATGGAAACTCGTCTTTATTATCTGTGAGAGGGATCTCAGGGTGTCCTCCCACCCACAGCTCAGCCCCACCATATCCATCTGGGGACACAGCCGAAGTTCCGGGTCAGTCACTGGACAGCTCACAGGCCTCTGGAGGGGGCGGACGAAGGAAGAAAGGGGTTTCAGGAGGTCCAAGGGCCAGAGGGTCTGGGAGGCCTCTGCCTCTGCATGACCGACCCTCAGGCCCCATATCCACTGCTGGCTCAGAAAGTTATCTCAAGGTGCCCATAGCTCATCCTCGCTCCTGCATGTGACAGCACAACTTTTGGCCTCTGAGAAGTACAATGTCTGCCCAGCCACCCTGGTGATGTCTGCCTTGACCACGCCCTCTGGTGAAAGAGGTCATGAGCCCCTTCGTGCCCCTGCGGGACCTGCTGGGTCGCAGTCTCCTGGGAGACTTTACCCCTTACCTTGGTTCCTGGGAATCAGTAGAAAGGCCCCGGAGTCCAGGCAGGAGGTCAGGGCCTGGAATTCTTCCACACACGTCTCTGGAGGGTGTGGGGAACGATCTGGAAGGGCAAGGGCAGCCAGGTGGGGCAAAGCCCATTTGTCAGCGTCACCATGGGGGGGTTTCACAAGAAGAGCCAAGCCTGTTTGGATGTCCTGGGGCCCAGAGAAATGGCCCCAGCCTTGTCGCGCTCTGCCCGGCCAGCCTTAGGTCTACTTACTGTAGAGGAGGAAGCGCTGGTAACCCTGACCCATCTCTTTCAGCATAATTCCACCTGGGCACGAGCTGGCGAAGATCTCAGTCTTCATGTCAGGGCGGCCTGTCACGGTGGGGTGCGGGCAGCTGTGAGGACAGAGGTGGACTCATGTGGGGAGGGGTTGCGGAGTCTGAGGGCTGCGGGGAACCAACCTTCAGTGCTGAGATCCGTGCTCCCCTCCGTCAAGTGGTAGATCCATTTCCGAGGCACACAGAACCCATTTTTCCTACAGAGGGGGTGGCCAGGAGAAGAGACTTGAGTGTCGCCCTCCTGACACAGCCAAGGCCTCCATCCATCTTGGTCCTCCCCGTGCCTGGCTCGCTCTGGGTTTCCAGCTGCCAGGGACAGGACAACTGGCAGAGCTACTGAATACAGAGGGCTAGGAATGGGATGCGCGGGCCAGGGCTGGGCCTCTGGCCACTGCCCCCACCACTCACGTGCGGACGGCGGCACTGAGCTGGAGCTGCGTGGGCGCTGAGCCTGCAGCCATGTTGAAGACTATGTTGTCCACGGACTCGAAAGTCGCCAGCTCCTGCCTGGTGGGAGCCGCCCCTGCAATGAAGTACCATCGGCCTAGGTGGGGCTCCGGAAACTGGGGAGACAAGAGTGGAAGGTGGAATCTGTGAGTGTGACGCAGGGCCCTGGGGTGCAGGACTTGCAGAAGAGGCGCTGGCTACCTTTCTAACCCACGGCACTGGGCTGTGACGAGGACTCCCACGATGACCCCACCCCTTTGTCCATGCCCAGCCCGTCTGGATAACCACCCCATCAGCCAATTTTGCAGCGCTCCCACACCGCAACCTGGAACCTGGATATATTCTGTTCATCATGCATACCCTCACCCCTCTCCCAGCATGGCTGCGGGTCAGCCTGGGCTGCCCACCCGACTCCCTGTCCTCGGCTGGTACCTCTTTCTCATCCACGCCCAGAGCTGTGAGCTGAGGGCGCTCAGGGCACCGATGGATGGAGTTGAGGAGGATGCCGCAGAGATACAGCAGCGCGGCCCAGATCCGGTGGAACATCTTCGGGCGGGTGGAGCCGGTGCTCTCAGACGGGCCTCGGCTGCCTTCTCCAGCTGCTCCGTGTGCTCTGCCTCCAGCCCCCTTGCCTCGACCCTTGACCCCTCCACCTGCTAATGAGTAACTTCAACCTTGTTTTTTAGCTCAGGCCTGGATTAGCTGCCCCGCTGGGGCCTTCCTCTCCCTCTCCTGGACTTATCCCCTGCACAGTACCCCGCGCCTGTTCCACATCTGGGAGTCACAGGCAGCGGAACCCCGAGCGCAGAAGCTGGCGTCTTTCAGCCCGGATCTGCGCCGAGGCTTGCTCTGCTGGGCAGCAAAGGGAAGCTGTGGGTCGATGAGGCCTCTCGTTTATTTGCGGAAACTGTCTTGGAGCCCAGCTGTTTGCCAGGAAAATTTTCTTTTTAAGGTCTACAAGAGCTCACTACTCAAGATCAGACTGGTAGCAGCCCTCCTGTCTTCAGCCTCCCAAGCGCCACCACACCCAGTCTCAGTCGCCATCTCAGCGTGCCCCAGGGGCAGGGCTGGCACGGCACACTGGGGATCAAGCCCCAGTCCCCATGCCTGCTCAGGCAGGTGCTTTAGTCCACTGAGCTATCTGGCCAGCCCATTTGCCAGGAAATGTCTAATCTGCGTGGATGTCAAAAGTGACTAAAATATGGTAACTGACCTTGAAAGTCAGGAGGAAAAATTAGGTGCATAAACAGATCATTGCAGTAGAGCTTCATGTGACTTTTGTTTTAAAACACGGTCTCACCGTGTGGCCCAGGCGAGCCTCCTGAGGGCTGGGATTACAGCGTGTGCCACCTACCTGGCCTACTGTTTCAAAATAGCTCTGAACTGGCCATGGGCATGATGGGCTTTCCTGCAGCTTGTGTTTCTGTAACTGGGAAAGAGCATGTCCTGATTTTGGAACAGCTCGTTGACAGAAGAGTGAGCTCATTTACTCAAACGTTTTTTACTGAAAAAAAAAAAAAAAAAAAAAGGGTATAGTTTAGTGGCTCATCTGTGTAATCTCAGCCTACACAGGCTATGGCGGTGGGCTCACTGCAAGTGCAAGGCCAGCCGCACCTACACGGTAATACCGTTTCAAAAAAAAGGAAAGGGCATATACTCTGAAAGTTAAAGAGAACAGCCAGCCAGGGAAACAGCTCAGCAGGACAGCGCCTGCCTGGCAAACACAAGGTTTGACTCTGGGCACCAAAAACATCAAGACGACGGACAGTGGTTCAAGCAGAAGTCACCTGTCTCTACGCCTTCCTTTTTTATCTGTAACATGGACCAATACCCAACCTCAGAGGATGCACCCACTACACAGCTGTGTATGGTGTAAGTCGAAGCAGTCCCCATAATTAATAGCAGTGTTTGCAAAGTACTTACTACAGTTTGGGGAATAATAAATTCTTAATGATGGCAAGACTTACGAGGTGGTGCCAAGTGGGGGAATTCACTGCCACGGGGTTTCCTTAATAGATTATTTATAATTCATCAGCTGCCACAGAAAGTTTTATCCTGAGCGAAAAGACTTGCTATCAACTTGTGATCAGTGGAAACAAAGTCTAGGCCCTGAAGAAGAGATCCATTACCTATACTATTTTTGGCGAGGGGGCCTGTGCTTAAATGTTTTTGTTTTTTCTGGTGGTAGGGACAGAACCATGCTAGATAAGCACTCTATCATTAAGCTACATCCCAGCCTTTGAAATTTTTGTAACTAAAACACAATAATCTTTTGGCAGTAAAATAGAACAGCATAATCCAAACGCTGCATGTAGGTTCAGACTTGTCAGCTCTACATAGGTGCGCTCACGGGTGCGCTCAGTTTTAAAGTGGGTGTCAGGCCCAGTCCCAGTTGTCAGCGGGCTCTGTGTACTACGATGATGATTATTACCGGTGTTTGGGGACAAGGTCTCTCCTTGTAGGTCTGGCTGGCTTTGAGCCCGCAGCAATGCTCCCGTCTCAGCCTCCTGAGTGTTGGGATTACAGCTGGGTGTCCCCGCACGCGCATTGACTTTAAATTCAATGGCTGCTACAAATGAAGTGCTCACTGATCAGGTGTTCACAAAAACTCTTCCTGCTGGCACCTGGGCATACGCAGGAGGCTGGGAAGCCAGCAGAAGGGATGTCATCTCCCAGTCCTCCCGAACCCGGGTCTCAAGTGTCAAGATCTTATTCTTCAATCCGGACTGCTGCGGCCAATTCGGAGCCGTCCCTTCTCCGCCCACTCCTTTTTTTGTACTGGACTTTTGTACTGGGCTACAGCCCCAGCCTGTTCTAATTTTTGAGACAGGATTTAACTAAGTCCTCCAGCCTCCGTGTGAACTCGCGATCCTCCTGCCTCTGCCTCCCAGCTGGGATAGGCCTCGTTGCTTGACGGAAGTCCTAAAAAGCAGTGGCATGTTTAGTTTTCTTAAAATATGCCACGCTCCGTCGGCCGCGCTCCGCCGCCGCCGACAACAGAGAAGCCTGCAGTTCACAGCCGCCCTCGGGACTGAACCAGGATCCACTCGAAGGCCGCGCAACCAACCCAGCCCGCGAGCCGCCCGGAACTGCCAGGTCGGGTGACTTCCGGAGTGCGGGCGCGCGCGGCGTCGCCAGGGGGCGCTCGAGGCCTTTAGGTGGCCATAATAGTGCCTCCTGGAAGACTCGGTTTGCCAAATCCTGAATGTAGATTAAAGGGGGCGGGTCCTAATCTGCAAACTCAAGGCCCACACGACGTCCACAGTCTCTCTGGAGGCAGGCGTATTCCCTTCGGTATTGATGTATTTTCCTCAGGCATTTACAGTAGCCGCCTGCACCTATCTACGCGCCGCACTGGGGAAGTGCGCAGAGCCAATGGGGGCGTGGGGCGGAGCTGTAGCACGCACGCATGCGCATTGGGACGCACGCAAGCGCAGTAAGGCCCCCGGGCGACGCGGCGGCGGCTCCTCGGGGTGCTGGCTCCCTCCCATCTAGGCCGGCCCCTGTCCGTCTCTCCCCCAGGAACTCACTATTTTGGGCCGCAGATTTCCTCATCGTCCCCTAACGAAAGTAAATCCTGGGGTCTGGGGGGGAGCCGGAAGTACCGCCTCGAGATCGCCAAATACGATCGGGGAAACGGAAGTGGCTCTCGGTGGCAGGTTGGGGGAGACCGGAAGTGACGGTACGGAGGGCCAGGCGGGGGCGGAGCCGCAAGACGGTGGGGTGTGTGTGTGTGTGGGTGTGTGTGGGTGTGTGTATGTGCGCCAGTCCGCGTGTGGACTGTGCTGCTGTGCTGGAACGCCGAAGGAAGGCAGAAGAGGGAGCGGGCCGCCCGCCAGCCGGTCCAGCCCTGCGTGAGTGCCCGCCGTCCGGGCGAGTAGCGATTTAGGCGGGTTCGATGGGCGTGGCGCGCGTGCGCGAAGCCGCGTTCTCCGCGACCCGGCTCGCGTCGCCCCAGGCTTTCCCCGGCTCTGGGGCCCTTCCCCTGTCGCGACCGGTGATGACACAGGTCGCTGGTCTCGTGCGTTCTTTCCTGATTCCTAGCCCAACTGGTCCTCTCTTATTGTGATTGGTACGTGGAGCCCCTCCCACCTCCCGTCCTTCAACTCCCGTGTCGTCGATCCCCTGCCCTTTGTGTTTCTTTCCCTGCGCCCCGCAATCAGAGGCAGGATGGGGGTGGGTGCGAGTGTGTGCGAGTGTGTGCGTGCGTGTGCGCGAGCAGAAGGAACTTTGTAGGTACTGGGGCGGAGATTCAGGCCAGGGAGGCTTCCGGGTGTGTAAAAGTCTGTTGAGGGCTGTATCGGGCCTCCCTCCGTTCTTCCTTAGGGAGCTGTTGGCCATGGAGCCCAGTGAAAGCACCAGCCCCGCCATGGAGGAGCCTGACAGCCTGGAGGTGCTGGTGAAGACCCTGGACTCTCAGACTCGCACCTTCATCGTCGGGGCCCAGGTGAGACCCCCCGTCCTTCTGGAAGGTACTTTAGCTCTTCCTCTTTCTCCCTCACACTGAGGGGAGACCCTGACTTTGTGTTCTAATTTTATTCTCATCTCTTTTTCTGTTCGCGTTCTAGTTACCGATGTTTGTTAGGGAGAAGGTGTAGTTAACTGTTGGATGAGGCAGATTTTGTTGTGCCTTTTTTCAGGTTAGTAAAACTCAATGCAGAAGGAAGTAAGAGAAAATAGGATTGTCTGTGCCGTCATCGCAGATCAGCTCCAGACTTTGGGCAAGGAAACATAACTCAGGGACCTCAAACAAGTATTTTTATGAGCAGCCTAATTACAGTTGTTTTTGTTTATAAAATGTAGAAACCAGAACCCGTATTTAAGCAAAACGCTAGTGGGGTTTTAGTACCTATGGCATAATAATTGTCTCTTGAGTTTAATGGTGGAAACAGTTACCTGTTGTTTTTTGTTTGTTTTTTCCTGTAGTTTTTAAGAGAGAAAATCATGAGCTGATTTTTCTTTAGTTTTTTAAACATTTAAGAAAATTGCCAGGTGTGGCAGCACACACCTGTAACCCTAGCCTTGGAGAGGCTGTGGCAGGAGGATCACCATGAGTTCAAGGCCAGCTTGGGCTACACATAGCACGTTTGAAGCCAGCCTGAACTATGTAGTGAGAACCTGTCTCAGAATACAAACAAGCAAATGAAAAAACAAAAAACGATAGGCTTTTGTAACTACTCAGTATATGTTAATGCTTTGATGTTTTCCAAGAGTTGTTTGTCTTGGGAGAAATTTTTTTTTCTCTTATATTTTTGTGACATTGGGGATTTAACCCAGAGAGAGCCTTGTGCTTGCTAGAGGAATGTCCTGCTACTGAGTTACATCCTCTGCTCTTACTTTCTTAGTCCTCCTTAACTTGATCCCTAATCCTGTCCTTATTACTCTTTTTTTTTTTTTTGGAACTAGGGATTGAACACAGGCCCTTGTGCTTGCCAGGGAAGCACTTATTCTCCCTGGCCCCTGTTTTTATCTTTAAGATTACAGGGGATAAATAAACTAGTATTTTGTGTTTGGGAAGGATTCAGTACTATCTCTAAACACATTCCTTTGGGAGCCAGGCAGAGGAGGAGAAAAGGGATGTTAGGTGGCTTTTTGTCTTTTATGTTTTAGTGCTGGGCTTTGAACCCAGGTCCTTGGCAGCGCGCTGCATCCCAAGCCCTTTCTCTTTTGAGTCAAAGTCCCATTAAGTTGCCTAGGCTGGAATTTTGATCCTTCTGTGTCTTGGTGGAAATAGCACCCTTCTGTGGTGTACATCACTGTGGCTGGCCAGCTGGTTTCTCATCCTTATTTCTTCCTTGGTCTGTAGCCTGAGCTTTGTTATTTAGGGTCTGTATTTTGACATGTGTTGTCTTGGTTCAGGACTTTGCACAATAATTACCACACAATCAAGACAAATTGGTGGTGAATCCATAATGTGG